ATGAGGAGTTCACAGAATAGGAAATGTAAATAAATGTAAAAGGCACTTGACCTTATTACAAATCAAAGAAATACAAATTAAAACTATAGGGCTTCACTGGTGGCGCAGTGGTTAAGAATCCGCCTGCCAATGCAGGGGACACAGGTTCGAGCCCTGGTCCGGGAAGATCCCACATGCCGCGGATCAACTAAGCCCGTGCACCACAACTACTGAGCCTACGCTCTAGAGCCCATGAGCCACAACTACTGAGCCCTCACACCACAACTACTGAAGCCCACACGCCTAGAGCCCATGCTCCGCAACAAGAGAAGCCACCACAAGGAGAAGCCCGCACACCGCAATGAAGAGTAGCCCCCGCTCGCCGCAACTAGAGAAAGCCCGCGCGCAGCAATGAAGACCCAATGCAGCCAAAAATAAATAAATAAATAAATAAATTTATACAAAAAAATAAAAAATAAAACTATAATGATATACCATGTTTCACCTGTCACATTAGCATATATCAAACGTTTAATAACACTGTAATTAGTTAGGGGCATGAGAGTGTTATCATTATTGAGTGAAAACTGGTACCATTATGCAGAGTACTTTGGTAATAGTTATCAAAATTGCAAATTCACAAAGTTTTGAAACTAGCAAAGCTATTTCTTAGAAATCACCCAAGATATACTCACAGATATTTGAAATGATGCCTGATTAAGGAAACTTATTGTTTCATTGTTGGAAATAACAAACTAATTAAAAGAGACTGGTTAAATAAATGTACGGGTATACATTTAATGGATTACTGTGCAGCCACTAAAAAAAGAATGAGACAGCACTATATGTACTCATATATTAAGATTCATTGATGAGTGAAAAAAGCAATGTGCAGAACTGTAGTTATTATTTTATCATTTGTGTAAAAATAGGAGAAAGAAAAAACATACATGCTTATGTATGTAGCAAAGGCCTCTAGGAAAGAAAAGTTGTTGGCTCCAAGACAGGGACAGGATAGCAGGATAGTGACAGCTTTTTATTATACACCCTTTTACATACTTTGGATTTGTTTTGACATAACTTCAGACTTACAGAAAAGCTACAAGAATAGTACCCTTCACCTATAAATCCCAAGTGTTTATATTTTACCACATTTGCTTTATCTTTTGCTCTCCATGTACCTATACACACACACACACACTCACTCATATACTCATACTTTTTTTTCTGAAGCATTTGCAAGTAAGTTGCAGACATGATGCCCTTTTTTACTCCTAACTACTTTAATGTGTATTTCCTAAAACAAAGAGATTCTCTTACCTATACATGCTCTCTGAACCTGCTTGGGTTTGATCGTGGATGTACCATTTCCATCTTGCGATTGATTACTCTTAGACCCATCCAGCTTCATTACTTAGTGGATTTGACAGAATCCAGCTCAAAAATGGTCAATTCCGGATATATGGTCACTTAGTGTCCCAAGGTCAAGTGTTCCAGGACCCAGTAACATGCCAAGAGCTGTTTCTCAAAGGGTATATATTTCTCTGCTGCAAATGGCATGGCTGTGGCCTTGCTCCAGAATGCCCAGGGCCTATTATGATTCTCCCACTAGAGTTTGCCAAAAATTTCGTGCTGTACCTTTGCCCACTGCTGAAACCTCCAACACCGTAAGGTCTGTCTGAGTGTCTGGCTCAAGCAGCAGGGCTGATTGCATTGTGGCCTGGAGTTGCTGTACTGCCCTTTCCTGATCTGGCCCCACTCAAAACTGATTGCTTTCTATGTCACCTGGTAAATGGAACAGAGGAATTTTCCTAGCTGTAGAATGTTGTCACCAGAACCCAAAGAGGCCTAACTGGCTCTGTGTTTCCTTCTTTGTGGAAAGGATGCAAGATGAAAAACATCATTTTTATTTTGGAGGGGATATTCTGGCATGTCCTTGATCCTCTGTGTCCTTAAATACTTCAATGAAGTAGTCAGTCCCTGAATCTTCATACCTCCTGGAACACATGTGTTTAACCAAGGTGTCCAGCATAATAATTGCTCCATGCTTGTCCTGTATAATTAGCATGATGTCATCAATGTAGTGGTTCAATGATATTCCATGGGATGTCTGTGCAATCCAGATCGCTTTGGATTACATCATGACAGAGGACAGGAGAGTTGACAAATTCCTGGGGCAAAGCTATAAATGAATATTACAGAGCATGGGCCAAGAACTAGCCTTCATAGAAAGGCAAGTCAGCCCGAGCCGTGGCTGGTCCATAGACTGTCAGTGCCAGGGCTTGAGAGGCTGTTCTCCTGGGGGTGTGCTACATCTGGGGCAGAGTTGGAAGCAGGCTGGAATCAGCCCTGCCCCTATTACCTTTTGTATAGGTTCCTATTAAACCACTTTTCTTTGTGTATGCACTGGAATTTCTATACCCGAGTTTCCCCACAGAAGTAAACCAGTAATTCTACCTTAACAGTGGACGTGGGGTAGACAGCATCCAAGACAGCCCCCCTTGATTTCTACCTCTCCTGGTATTCGCTCCTACATTGTACCAGGGATGGTCAATGTGACCAACAGGATACAGCAGAAGTGATGGCATGCCACTTCTGTGATTAGGTGGTCGTCTCTCTCTCTTGGATCACTTGCTCTGGGGAAAGCCAGTTGCCATGTTATGAGCACCCCTTTGGATATGCCACATGGTGTGAACTTGGAAGTAGATCCTTCAGCCGCATTTGAACCTTCAGATGACTGCAGCTCTGGCTAACAGCCGAACTGCCACCTGGTGAGAGACCCTGAGCCAGAGCCACCCAGCTAAGCTGCTCCCAGATTTCTGATCCTCAGAGACTGTGTGAGATAATAAATGTTGTTTTAAGCTGCTAGGTTTCAGGGCAATTTGTTACACAGCTATAGATAACTAACACAGGACCTCTTCTGATTTATCTCAGCCCCTACCAGACTGTCTGGTGTTTAGGAAGTCCTTAATCGATGTTGGTTGGATGAATGAATGAATGGGTAATTGTGACAGCACTTAAATAAACCAGTAACCCAGTCAGGTAGGTCTGGACTGAGAGTTGAGAAATTTAATTTATAACTTTAACATGGTTTATCTTCTCAGAAATTCAGTTTCTCTCAAATAGGTCTTCCTACCTAGTAATAATGTGGGAGTGGAGAATAGAACAAAATAAATTATTTCTAGGAAGATGATTTAACTTACTGATTCAAGCAACAACCTCCACTAAGGTGGTAAACAAAATTTTTAATAGCACAAAAACTGAATTATAAGGAACGAATGACATAAATCTGCAAGGTAAGTTTTTATTACAAAAACTTTTAATACAATTCAATATTCTATTAAGACTAAAGGCAGGTCCTTGCCAACCCTACTGAGCCATAAGAGAACAAGTCAGGAAAGTGAATATGTTCTCCAGGGTGACTCGAATTATTCCTTTACTAATGAATGCTAGGGGTGTGTGGTCTTTTCTGTTAACATTTCTTTGGTAGTAAAAACAAGGAGGAATAAAATTCTTGGCTGCTCTACAGAAAAACGTGAACTAGAGTGAAAATGTGGCCATAAAACTGCAGAAGAAGCAAGTTACCACAAGAGGGGGATCTACATTCAAGAAAGAAAAGTTGGTTAGCAGTTAATTTCTCTTTCAAAGAAATAAAAAATGCCTTGAGAAATTTACTCCATTCCTTTATCCTTAGACTCACAGCTTAACAATCCCATAAAAATGAGAAACGAATGTTTTACAGAGCCTCTCAGTTTTCTTCGAGGGAGTAGAGAACTTCATTAAAGATAGGCTATTTTGGGCCTCCCTGGTGGCGCAGTGGTTGAGAGTCCGCCTGCCGATGCAGGGGATACGGGTTCGTGCCCCGGTCCGGGAGGATCCCACGTGCCGCGGAGCGGCTGGGCCCGTGAGCCATGGCCGCTGAGCCTGCGCGTCCGGCAACGGGAGAGGCTACGACAGCGAGAGGCCCACATATGGGAAAAAAAAAAAAAAAAAAAAAAGATAGGCTATTTTATTTCCCATTAAGCCCTCCTTTCATGTACCATAATCTCTCGTGATTCTGGACAAAATAATTTCCTCTGTAAAAGGGAGCATATGCCAGTCAGGCAGCACTTATTGTCATTGTTCTTGTAGGCAATTTGGTGTAGTGAAAAGACCAGAGACCTTGGTACCAGACCAACAGGAAGTCAAATTCAGGCTCTGCCACTTGTTAGCTGGGTGACATTTAAGTGATTAATTTCTTTAAGTCTGAGTTTACTCACATGTAAGTTGTGCAAATTAAATGAGATGTATATAAACTGCTTAGCCTAGTGTCTGACACATATCTGTTCAATAGTGAAAGCCCATTATTATCGTTTCTTGCTTATTATTTAATTCTGTTGTCTGTAGCCACCTAATTCTTAGTTTTAGTGATTCTGGAGGAGTCATCAAGATTAAAATATAAGCTGATCTATTCCTCTTGGTGTCACGTCAAATATCTAGACAACCTATGATATGTTGCTCTTTTTGATGAGTTTTAGAAAACATTTAAAGTGGAAAAGGAGGTAGGTCAATTGACAGACACATACATCTTACAAAACATGGATAGTAAAAGCACAGAAAATACATTTTACAGGCAAAGCAGAAGTATTTTTAAAAGTGGAAAAGATCAAGGATAAAATAAAATCCCCAATGTGAACACAGGTAACATTAATTACAAATGATGCTTTGGTTTATAATGTGGAGCATATACCACTTTACATACATTGTGTTAATTTAATGTATCTCAAATGTTGACCTTGGTTAAAATATTTTCAAGGAAACTAGAAAATATTCTTAAACAGCTCACTAGATCTTTCATAAAATGAACAGAAAATATTTTGAAATTGATGTACTGCTTGAACTTACGTCAGAAATTTGGTTTTTGTGAAAGATAGTAGTTTACACAGTTGGAAGGACCCACACTCCAAGGAAGTCTTCAACATCCTGGAAACAATGAAAGAATTCTCTAAACTCCACCTTTTTCTTTTCCCTTGTGGCACCAGTTAGATTCTCTGGTATCCAGAAGATTCACGCCTTAAGCGGATTCCATAGACAATCAAACCCACTGCGAACAGACCAATCACGATGGCCCCAATCACGGGAAGCACAATTGTGTAGTCAGATGAACATTCGTCCACTAAGAGAAAAAACAAATACAGCCACTAAGGTTTAGTGAGGACAGACCAGAAAGCAGGCTAGAGTGGGGAGAATATGAGCTTTGGAGTCAGACCTGTGCTTGACTTTTGCTTCCACCACTAACTGTGTGAACCTGGGAGGGTTATTTAACCCTGCAATTTTCTCATTTATAAAGGAAGCAAATAATATATAAAATTGTTGGAGGATGAAATAAGATAACTTTCTTTTCTCAGAAATTAATATTTAATAATTGTTAGTCCTGTTTTCTTCCAGGTGTTGCTCTCTGTAAAGTGGGATGTGCTTATGTAAAACAGACTGCGTCACTGTAAACCTTATCTCTTGAAAACATGTGATGTTTCTCCACTTTTTAAAACATTCATTTTTGTCACACTTACAGTTCTGTTTTATTGCTTTTAGTTAGCCAAAAATATTAGAAAATAGACCTAATTATTTATGATAGCTTAAAAGTGAAAGTTTGCAAATTTGTCAAAATTCTTTTTTCTTTATTCTGTTAGAGATTATTTATTCAGTTCATTTAAAATGTAATCAGTCTTGACTGGAGAAAGATGCAAGGCCCTGGGAATAAAAGGGACCTTAACTGGGGGCTTCCCTGGTGGTGCAGTGGTTGAGAGTCCGCCTGCCGATGCAGGGGATGCGGGTTCGTGCCCCGGTCTGGGAGGGTCCCGCGTGCCGCGGAGCGGCTGGGCCCGTGAGCCATGGCCGCTGGGCCTGCGCGTCCGGAGCCTGTGCTCCGCAGCGGGAGAGGCCACAACAGTGAGAGGCCCGCATAAAACAAAAAAAAAAAAAAAAAAAAAAAAAAAAGGGACCTTAACTGAATACAAATAAGTGGAGAACTATATCGATATCTTATTCAAGAACAGATGAGAGGATATACCCTTGAGGTCTTCCATGAACCAATATTGAAATTATGTCCTGAACCAAGAATCACCATTAATCCAATTCTCACCTGAGGTCCAAGTAAAAAGAATCAGGAGGGGCCAGGGAAGAGGGAATGGTAATTAGAGACTCCTGGGAAAAAAACTAAATCTATACAAGACAGGAACTGTGCTTGTAGTCCACTATTTGATTTGGCAGTGGACAATATTTACATTATAATGATGCATACCTTATTGATTTAACAAAAAAAACAGTGATATAACCATAAAAAGGATGGTGTAAGAAGTATTAAATCTTTATCTTCCATAGCAAGAGGTTTAAAGCTGATAAATAAGAAAAAGTAGGATAAGCTTTTTATTATTTTTTAGAGAATTATGGAGATAGTTACCATAAGAAACTGTTAAAACTAGTTAAAGTGCTTTGTCTCTTAGAGGAGGGACAGGGAAATGTTGCTTTTCATGAATCCTTTTAGAGTATATGATAATTTTGTTATTTACATATTTGTTAAAATTATATATAATTTTGTTATATTAAATATTACATGTAAATATTTATATATATTTCTTAGATAGGAAAGAACATAATCTAAGAAGTTAAAATAATTTGGAAAAAAAATACAGAATTGTCAAAACAAAATGTAAAGCACATATCTATCAATCCAGCAATTCCACCACTAGGAATTTAGACTGAAGATATATTCATAAAGTACACAAAAATATGTAATAATAATCTCCTTTTATGAGAGGAAAATTGACAATCTAAATATCCATCAAAAATTTACAGTTGTATATTCATACAATAGACTATGATGTAGCCATCAAAAGGAATGTGGTAGATTTCCATGTGCTGACAGGGAAGTTACCTAAGATCTGTGAAGCACTGCATGGGTGCCTAGAGCAAAAAAATACACAAGAAGCTGGGGGAAGACTGGGATGGGAATAGAGGCAACTTTTACTTTCTATATAGTTATATACTATTTAATATGACATTGTTTAAACATCTTCAAAATGCAGAAAAGTAAACAAAGAAAATAGTTATCCAACCACCATGTTTCTTCCACTTGAATTAATCACCATAAATCTTTGAGGCATTTGTTTCCTCTGTACATATATGTGTGTATGAGTGTGTGTGTGCTCATGTGTATGCTTAAAGAAAAATCATTGTATTTTTAAAAATGATATATGCTCATTATAAATCTCCTGAAAACCACCTACCCAGAAATTATCATTGTTAAAACATGGACAAACATTATTTCAGGCATCTTTCTTTACAACTGTAAGAATAGATGGGTAGAAAAATAAATAGAAGTGGTTTTATCAAAATGGAATCATACAAATGCTATTTTAACCAAAATTGTTCATTTTAATGTTACTTGAATTTCACAGAAGAAAAAAACTAAAACAAAACTAGAGGAATTACTGCACTTCAAATAAACGTGTCTTTGCCATGGGAAATATTGTTGCATAAAAGATCTCTTTAAGGTTCAAAGAAGAGACAAAAATACACAAGTAGAAAATAAATAAATGATTATGAAATGCATTGAGGTTATAAAATAGAGACGTGTTTTCGAAACTCTGTTTCCAGTTAGACATCATCTATTGATTCTGTTTTGAAAGATTAACATTAACAGATTCCCTTCTATTTCTGGTCTTCCCAACTCAAATTCTGAATAGCTATACATATTTTTAGAAACATTGTTCAGGTTTACAATATTTCAATTCTATTTGATAAATGTAATTCCTATAATTTCTTTCTCTCTCTTTTTTTTTTTTTTTTTTTTTTGCGGTACGCGGGCCTCTTACTGCTGTGGCCTTTCCCATTGCAGAGCACAGGCTCCAGATGCGCAGGCTCAGCGGCCATGGCTCACAGGCCCAGCCACTCTGCGACATGTGGGATCTTCCCGGACCAGGGCACAAACCCGTGTCGCCTGCATTGGCAGGCGGACTCTCAACCACTGGGCCACCAGGGAAGCCCTAATTCCTATAATTTCTAAAAATTCGTTTCAAATTTAGAACACATTCACTATTTAAAGTCAAAATAATATAAAATGCTGTACACTGAGAAGTTTCATTTCTACCCTTGTGCCATCTTCTTAGCTCCCCCTGCCAATATTAGACAACTACTTAATTTCTTATATATTTCCAATGTTTCAGATATAAGCAAAAGTGAAAATATACTTTATTTCCCATTTTCTTCACTATTATGCATTACACATTTTTTAACAATATATTTTGGATAACTTTCCTTATACATACACAAACATGTATGTTCTCATTCTTTTCTTATAACTGTATAGTATTCTGTTGTGGAATGTATCTGTCCCAGATTGATGGACCCTTGGTTTGTTTTTAATCTTTTGATATTACAAATAATTCTGTGATGAATAAGCATGCACATATATCATTTTATATATGAGAAGGAATGATAAAATCTCAGATCCATAATTGTTTAATGCTTTTTATAGTTAACTCTTCAAATAGATTAAATGCCTTAAAAAACAAAACAAAACTGAGCTTTCTCTATTCCTGAAAGATGTTTGCTGATATCCTTGTTTGTAATGTGGCTTCTCTCTGATCAAATTTCGTTTTCAAGCTGTATCTTTAAGAAGAGCTCATTTGTGCTGTATCCCTTGAATTATTTCATGTTTGAGGATATCGGTCTATTACCTTTTTAGTCAGATTATATTTTGGGGTCACACTTACCCTTAGGATTTTGCAGACATTGGTCTATTGTTTTCTGGCTTTAAATGTTATTGTAAAGAAATCTGAGGCCAATTTTAACCTTCCCCCTTTATAGGTGATTTGCTTTTTTTAGGGGAAGGGAGAGTTTGTATGTGTAAAGAATTCTTTAGCTTTAAAGTTCTATGGCTTACTTTGGATATATTTTAATGTTAAGCTTTCTGTGTCAGGTTTTTTTTTCCCTCCCACCCTGGGATAGATACACTGTGCACTTTCAGTCTGCAACTTCAATTATTTATTTTAAGGAAAACCTCTTAAATCATCAAATATATCTTCTTTTTATTTTTTAACTCTGTACTTCAGAGGCACCAGTTATCCTTATTTTAGATGATCTGAATAGCTTTCATACCTAGCAGCTTACCTATAATATTATAATCTTAATTTTCATTAACTGGTTAACTCAGTCTTTTTCTCTATGAAGATAATTCAGTTTTCAGCTCTATCTGTTCTGCCTTTTACTATTTCCATTTATTATGGAAGTGTGTTGCTTTGATGCTCAATTTGTTTTCTTAGGAGTGAAATGTCCTATTTATCTCACTCTTTCATTATAACTTCTCCTCTATGAGCTCTGGTTATATGGAATTCACGTTCTTATTAATTGTCAAAAAAACAATTGACAGGTATTTCTCTCTGTTCCTTGAGTTAGGTTTTCTTTGTATTTTATCAACTATATTCCTTTCTAACCCTCGCTCCTTTAATTTTTAAAAATTGTGGTAAAATATACATAACATAAAATTTACCATTTTAATTGTTTTAAAGTGTACACTTCAGTGACATTAAGTACATTCATTTTTGTGCAACTATCACCACTATCCATCTCCAGAACTTTTTTCATCTTGCAAAATGAAAACTCTGAATCTATAATTTAGTTTAATCTTATATTATTTTTTCCTGCAGTAATTTTGCACTGTAGTCTTGTAATTTGTTTTCATCTTACTCGTTTCCTCTTGAGCTAACTAATTGGATTCTATTTTCTTTTCTATACCTTGGGAACTAGCTACAGACTGGGGTGTCCTCTGGTTTGGGGCTGGCTCCCCAGTTCATTTCCAGCAGTCTGTGTTTATTCTGCCTTGTCTCCGCAGTAGCCATTTTCACTACTCCTACCTAGCTTGAAGAACTGTGGGATCCTAGTTCCCCAACCAGGGATCGAACCTGGGCCCCCTGTATTGGGAGCGTAGAGTTTTAATCATGGACCGCCAGGGAAGTCCCAAGTGGCTGCTCTTTTTCTCTCCAGTTTTAGGAAGAGTAGTCAGCATTCACAGGATGTTTTTTTTTCACAGTATGGCTCCTTGGGGTAGGTGTACTGGGGAGGGTTAGGAGCCCACTCAGCTGCGCCTCTCCATTCTTCCTCTCAGTCTTGTATCTT